AAAAAAAAAAAAAAAAAGGAAAATATTTGGTCTTTCTATTTCATAAAAAAATGGTTTATGTGGCCTTCAATTTGCATGGGCATAATGTTGGCCTTCTTTTCACAAATGTTGGAGTCAATGGGGAAGAATTCTGGTCAGGTGAGCAAAATGAGAGTTTGGAGTTGATTTCTGTGCATGCTGCTCAGTGAGTGATGCCTCTTGTGTTTGTTTGTTCAGTGGAAAAATGCCAGAGGTGGATTATGCTGTCCTAAGTGAGTGGTTTGACTGGATCCAGAACAACACTGATGTTTCAGTTGATTTGATAGGTAACATCTTGATGTGTCTGGAAGGCTGTGTTTGTGGGTGGGTTTTCTTTCTGGGAGAAAAAAAAAAACTTGTTTCTTGGCTCATAAATAATCACATTATTCACTATAAAAGTGCCCACCATCAGACAGCTTGGGTTTGTGGGTGGTTCATTGGTTGGGTAGTGCCAAAGGGGAGGTCCAGTGGTGGTACCCAAGCCAGGACCCTTCCCTTCTATAGTATGTAAAGTGAGTTTCTGGTTTGCTTTTAAAGCTGATCCTTGAACATAACTATTAACATTTTTATTCCTGCAGTTTATTTGCAGACATCTCCTAAAGTTTGTTATGAGAGGCTAAAGACACGGTGCAGGGAAGAGGAAAAAGTCATTCCTCTGGTAAGGAGTTCCTCTGATATATGTGCTTACAAGGAGCTTTGAAAACAGAACAATTCCAATCTAAATAATAAAATTCTATCTTAAGTATATTGCCAGAATGTAGTGCAGCTGTTTCCACTGCAAACTAAACACTGAATACTGAATTTTGATTTATTTTTTAAAAATTACCTGTTGCACACTGACTCTCCAGGTGTTCTGCTGTAGTAATCAGGGCACTGTAGCTGACTTTAGGTGCAGCATTCATCAACTGGTAAACTTCCCTAGGATGTGAAAGTCAATTGCCTTTGTACCAGGCAGTGGCGCAGAAGCACCCAGGTGAAGCACAGGTGCCTGGGCTTGCAGGTGCTGAGGTTTCCATGGGCACTTTGCTGTCTGCTCCCACCAGGACGTTTGTACATGGAAAGTGTCTCTGCTGTGGCTGAAAGGAAGCAGCTCCTTGAAAACTGTGAGCTTGGGAATCTGCCTGAAAACAAATGGTGGTGATGGAACAGGGATTTCTGTGCCAATTCACAGCATGGCCCCTCATGCCACAAGGCTTCTGAAGAAGCCTGACCAGACGTGAATGCAGTTCCCTCTGCAGCTCTGGGCGAGTGGCTCAGGAGAAGCAATTGGCAGTTGAAGATCTGTGCAAAGAGCTGAATTTTGGGCCATGTGAAATTTTGAGATTAAATCGTCCTGTAATGGATTTGAAGAAGCCCTTGTGTTATTTTGCAGCTCTGCTGAAGAGGAGGGGAGCAGTTACGATTGAGCAATGTGAAGCGGTCTCCATGAAGAAAAAAAGCCAGTTCATGACAGGCAGAAGAGCTTTTAGATGAAATTGAGTTACAAGAAAGTGAACTGGAATTCTAGGGAAATGTACTGACACAGAAAGTGCCTCCCATACTTATTCTTTGCAGCCTTGCCCTTTTTGTCCTTACTTTGTTGTATTTTTCTCTGTAAAATCATGAACCACATTTTACCTGTGGGAGAGAATCATGGTTGCTTGATCTTAAAAGGAGCTGAGAGCCCTGTTCTTCTGTAAGCTGTGTCTTTGAGGTCTTCCTGGAGTTAAAACTTTGTACTGGGAATTAATTTTTCTCAAAAACCATCTTATGCTTTTTATTTTTTGTTAGTGGAAGATATGTGTTGCAGACTTTTATATGTGTCTTTTAACTACTGCCCAAATGGATAAATATTGCAATGTGTGTGTCATCCCTGGGCATTTGTGTTATTCTAGTGCCTCTTTTCTAGGAATATTTAGAAGCTATTCATGAGCTCTATGAAGAGTGGCTCATTAAACGTGCACTGTTTGAAGTTTCCTGCCCAGTACTTGTGAGTATTATTTTTATTAGAACCAGTCAAACATGTGGGGGATTGTGCTTTCCAAATAATAGGAGCATTGTTTAGTGGTTAAAGTAAATAAATCTGCTTTTCTGATAACCTTTGGAGAAGGACAGCCTCTGACAAACATGGTAGCTGTTGGTGTATAGCACAAAAGTCGGGTCTGCCATGTCTGCAGTGGAATTTGAGGGGCTGTTCACTGGGATTGCTTGTAGGATCAGCTGTGGAGTTTTTCAGGGAATGCCAAATTCCCAGCAGAAAGCAGCTTGGGCAGATCCCTAGGAGTGTCCCAGTTTGGCTGCACTGGTAGTCCTGTTTTGCTCAAAAGAAATCAAGTTTTATAGTGTCAGTTATTGCCAGTGTTCATCTTCTCTCCAAGGTTATTGGAGCTGACCATGACATGCAGAAAATGGTAGAGAAGTATGAAGAAAACCGGGACCAAATACTGAACCCAGCTAACAGACAACGCTGTTTATAGAAGCCTGTGACTGTTGTATCAGAAATCATCTACTGAAGTCTGAGTTAGTATTTTAAATATTTAAACATAATGGGTATTGTTTTTGCACTATGCTTTGTAGAACACTGGACTTACAGCTCTGAAATGATCAGATACCAATCAGGAACAGAATGGGAACCAATTCCCTTTGTGTTTTTAGGTTTTCCTTCAGCTTTACTGTGTCAGTTCTATTCAACTAAAATATGGCTGTTTCCCTCATTTCCCACTTCACTGCTGCTTCCTAGAAGTGACTTTATTATTTTTTTTTCCCCAAAGACAACCCTGTTTTTGTAATTTGAAATAAACAGTTTATTACAACATCCCTCTGAGGGAGGGTACCTCAGGTTTCTCTTAATGACGCCCTTAGGGTGAATTGGGGTGAAACACCACCAAAGGGCCAGTGTGTGTACGAGGGAGGTTTGCTTAGGACAGAGCTGTCAGCCTGGCCCTGGGGCCCAGCAGAGCATCCTCGGTGTGAGCACAGGGCACGGATGGGATCACCACGGGATCAGCCCCACCAGTCTGGGTTTAGGAGGGGCAGGTCCTGCCTGGCCCACATCATCTTCCCCAGCCACGTGCCCCTCCTGGTGGGTGAGGGAAAGGCTGTGGATATGTCTCCCTGGAATTCAGCACAGCCTTTGAGGCCCTCTCCCGTGGCATCTCCTGGAGAAGCTGCAGTCCCAGCTTGGCTGGGATGGGACTGCCTGATGGCTGGGCCCAGGGCGGTGGGAATGGGATCCCCTGGGATCCATGCTGGGAACAGCCCTGTTTAACCTCAGCTCATTGGGGTAGGAGTGAGAAGGCTGTGCTGAGGCCCTGGCCAGCTGGGTGGGTGTGCCAGGCACTGCCGGGGGTCGTGGGCGGGGGCCGGGCCCTGCGCTGCAGCCACCGCCACCCTGCAGCTGCAGGGCAGTGTGGCCGTGGCACGCAGCGCTCGGGCTGGGTCACAGCGCTGCCCTACAGCTGCACCCAAAGGCCTCCAGGGTAATTCTGTGACTTTCAAACAGTTGAATTGCAGTAGAAAGGAGGGGTGCAGTTCTTTGGGTTCTTTTCTACTCAGATACAAAATACCACAAAGTATGGAAGGCGAGGGTAAGGGTAGGTAGTGGAGAAATCTCACAGCAATGAGGCTGGATTGTTGGAATTTTGATCTGTCCACGTCAGATCAATGTTCAGTCTTGATCCCTTGGGGTGGTACCCACCAAACAAAAGGTTCAGAGGCTTGCAGATATTCCATTTAGCATGGGAACAGCTGTGTCCCTCCCCAGGGAAACGATTCCTCCTGCCAGCTCAAACACTGAGGGCCATGCAGGGCCCTCGGGTGGAGCCTCTCTGGCAGGAGTCAGGGGCATTCTGAGGCTGGGTGCTCTCAGTGCCCCTCGGGCTCTTGCCCACTCCTGCTCCTGTGCTGTGTGGGCACCGTGGACCTGAGCAGGAATCTGGCTCCAGGAAGGTGCTGCCCTACCCTCTGCTCCTTTGCTCCCTTTTCCAGGCACATCCTGAGTGGCCACCAGGTTCCTGAGGCATTGACTCTTTCCTGCCCAGGCTTTACACATTTCATGCCAGAGGTGGGATGGTCGTTACTTTATTATTGGAAGCAGCAAATGAAGTGCATCAAGTTGAAGTAGTTTTGTTAAGCAGATGTAACCAGTTTGAAATGGTGTTTTGCTCTAATCCTGCCCACATTAATGCAACTTCATTGAATTCGGGAAGTTCTTTCTGCTCTATGGGACATCACAATGTAGCTTAGTTCTGAAAGAACTGTGACGGTAATCCCACTGAATTCGGTGAAAGAAAATTTTTAAAAAACCACAGTTTTTAAAGTGACTGCAGAAATGCCATGAGGTTTTTTTTCAGCTAGCTTTTTATAGAGAGCTTATTTTAGTTGTTATTTAGTTGTTCAAAAAACCCCAGCCCTATTCTGGCTGAGCAGAAATAGTGAAGATACAGGGTGCACAGGACTGTATTTGTTATTATTTTCAAATGTTTCTAAAAACACCCTAGATTTAATTGATTTCTTAACCAGTTTGCATTCTTTGATTTTACCTCTTTTTATAAAGAAAAACACAGGTGTTTTTTTGGGTTTATGTCACAATCAATTTATTATGACCTGGAAGTACTTGGAGAGTAGAGAAAACCAGTGGGGTTTCATTCCTGGACTTGTCAAAATAAGTGCAGACTTGCCCTTCACTTGTGCTTTACCCTCTGGGTGTTGCCTTCAGGAGAATCCTTTCACTGCAGCACTCAGACTGCTCTCACATGGATTTTCTGGGTAATTTTAGGGGAATGATCCCAGAAGTACAGAATTTATTTTTCCCCTACTGGTTTTGGTTGATTTAGCTGGAACAAGCAAAGCTCATTAGCACTTTGATCACTTTATACAGACATTTGTCAGGCACTTAGTGCAGAACAGAAACAGTTATGTGGCTTTTCAACAATATCTGATGGTGCTGCTTTTGGAGGGTTGTGGTTTGCCTAAAACCCATTGCACTGAAAGAACTCCCAGTCAGGAACTGCAGCTTATTCTGATATTCCAGTTATTCTGATCAGCTGTTTGTTTCCTAAAGCACTGCAACTTAAGAACAGAAAGTGCACAGAGAGAGCATTTCCTAGTGAAGTACTAAGCTAGTACTAAAGCTTGTGATTGCAGGAATGCCATTCTTCTGCTCTCTTATAAATCTTTAGCATTCCAGCTTAAAAGTAAGATTTTGTGTGCTAAGTAATTATCTTGCTTACTGCAGCTTCTTTGTAGGGAGATACCAGATATTCTTGAGACTTTCAAAACTTTTTCTTCTCTAAGAGTCCAAAAGAACAATTTATTTGGAAATGGTTCTGTATGTTTGAAGCTCAATCATCTGTAGTTTGTTCTTAATTCTAATTTCACTATGGACATACATTTTGCACAGCACAGAAAATGTCAAAGAATCTTACAGCCCAAAGGATGCCACTGTTACTGGTCAGGACACAGCCCTGTGAAGGCTTTTTGTTCCTAACACCCATTTCTCACAAGCCCACCCAGAGCTGAAGGCAGTCTTGTCCCTTGCTGTTACCTTGGGAAAATTCTGTTTCTCTTACACTGCTGGAATCAGGGGATGACAAAATTTCAACCATTAGTTCTTCAAAGCAAATCTTTATATTTTAGTTCCTGAGGTTTTTCTAGTCTAATCCACGTGTGCTCCTCTGACTTTTTTCTGGGATGAAAGTCAATTATAAACAATTAATACAAAATTCATTTCAGCTAATATTTTTTAACTGTACATGAAAGGCATTTTTTAGCATTTAGAACTGAGCTCCATATAGCCACTGTGAAGAAAATTAACTCTACCCCAGCCCAGACCAGCACACATTTCAGTGCTACTGAAAAAGCTACTTGAAGCAGCATTAAAGTAGGGCAAGGGAAATGGCAGCTGTAGCTGGACCTCTCTGCTGGTGGCAGTGAACAGTTACAATGCTCAAGGCTTCTCATGGAAATTGTGGTGGTGGCCACAAAATACTTTGGTAACAAATGGTTATATATTGATTAGATATAAAGCCTATAACATAGGTTAATGCCTTTACAAAACCAAGTGTTCACAGAGCTGTTTCCCTCTTTAAAGCTAAAGGAATGTTATCAAACTTTCTAAACTGTTTTCAGCTGAAGTCAGGAGGAAGATTAGCTCAGACACAGCTTGAAAGCAATGCAGAGAGTTAACAAAAGTACAGTCCAGTATGGCATTTCTTCCAGTTTAGAAGAATTCACCTTGTACTGGAAGAATATTCCAGGAATAGGTCTGTGAAGGTAAAAAAGAGAAGTAGGATGCCCAGCTGAAGAAAGAATGTCTGGCATTAAGAACAGCCAGAAGGAATCTGACTGATGAATTAAATGGATTTAAATTTATAGAAGTTTGCCTACCCTTTAAAATGGTGACCATTCAGGTTTCCTTGTGAGAGGAACCATTAGGAATTTGTGTAACTCCTGCTATTTACTGTCCCAAAGCAGTGATATGCTTTGGGTTTTAGAACTGTTGTGACAGAGCTAATCATCTCCCTGACAACAGGATCAAGGCCACAGGTGAGAGGACAATCCCCCCCAGGTCATGACAGATAAAGCACTCCAGACTCAGATGTGGTGGCACAGCCCTGCCTGGTCGGTTCTGTCAATGATGACATAAGGCTCCTGGCTGTCAGTCTCTTGGGAATTGCAGTGCTCCAGCTTCCCTTCCCTGCCTCCAGCAGAGTCACCTGCAGGCTGCCCCAGGCTCCTCCTGCCCTGGCTGCTGCTCCTGCCCCCGTGTGAGGGCGGCACATCAATGCTTTTGGGGGGGATGTAAGTGAGGTTGGGGGGCTCTCTGACATGCCTGAAGCACTCAGAAGCTGAGTGTCCCTTAGGAGGATCCACAAACAGTCTCTTGCTGTCAGAACCAGCTGTGGAATCCTCTGTGTGCCCAGCAGTGCAGCACAGACCTGAAGGTGGCTCAGGGTGTGACGCTGCTCTCTTGTGCACCTCAGCATCAGTCAGGTATGTGTGTTTTATTTGGGAGTGATTAAATTCTTTAATGTGCCTGTCACTTCTTCCTGCATAGGCTACTGCCTCAGGCTGGCCACTTTCTTCTACTGGATATATAAGTTCTTCCTGAGCATCCTTGATTTGTAGTTCTGTGAAGGTTAAAGACATCTCACAATTGTCCTCTTCCTTGGGGATGCAGCAGTTTTGGGCAGAGGAAAAGTCCTTGTAGGGTAGAGACTTCAGCTCAGTAGGTTCATCACCAGGGGCTGGGTCTATGCAATTTATGGCATCATTAATTTCTGCTTCAATTGATCCTTCTGGGACTCCTGGAGCTTCAAACTGCAAGGTGGTTTTGCTGTCACAGGAACTGTCAGCAAACATGGCAAAGGCTGGGGGGCCGCTGGCTCCTGGGGACAGAGGTGCAGGCCCCAGGGCTCGTGCAGCCAGCTCTGCAGCCCCTGTCAAGGCCCACTCCTCACTCGGCCTGGCTCTTGGCTCCTTCTCCAAAGCCTTTGGAGAGGGACTCTCGCTGAAGATTGGTGTTTGTGCTATGACAATGTCGCTGTATTTGATCAGGAAGTCCTCACTGTCTGAGCCCTTGCCCGGGAGGTGCTCTTGGAGGCTGCTGGGGGATGCAGCACAGGTAGCTGAACACTCCTGCTGGGGGACAAGGCACAAAGGTGTCTCACTGCTCCCTTCATTTCCCAGACTTCCAGTGTCTCCTCTCTGGGGTGTCTGATATTCCTCACCCTCCTCTCCTCGATGCTGATGTGTCTGTGTGCCCTGCTGCAGGCTCGTCTCCAAACTGCCATGTGTTTCTTCATTTGTCATCTCGAGGATGGCTTCACACTCGATTCTTGCCAGGAATATCTCAAATGCAGTCTGCTTTGTCTCCTCATTGTTTCTCTTTTTGACAAGTGAAAACTCTGTTGCTGTAGTTGCAACATAACCTATTTTCTCCAGGAGTTCTTTCACAATGTCCTCCGCCAGCACTGGCTGGATGTAGTAGACAAAATTCCCAGTGAAGGTCTGGAACAGAACACAACACAACATGGAAAAGCTGGTGAACACTGGGGGAAAGGGTTCAGGGAAACGTGAAACAGCTGATTTCCTAAAGATCAAAATTACTTCAAAACTTGCTTACAGCTTTAAACCAGCCGTGTTCTACAAGCCTGAGTTTTGAACTGCAGTGAGTGAGGCTCTTCTAACAGCAAGGTTTTGGCAGCCTCTCGAGCATTGTGGCTTTGCTACAGCACATCAGTTCCAGTGAAGTTGTGCCAGTTTAAACCTGCTGGGGTCTTGGCTGAGAGTACCAGTATTCAAAAAAAGGAAGAGAGTAAGGAAGTAATTTTAGTCAAACTAGAGAAACTCAGAAATAAACCTTTTGTGTTCTACTGAACCTAAGCTTTTGAAGCAAACACAGATTTATAGAATGAATCAATGAGGTATTTTCCTGAAGAAAAAGGCATGATGCACTCACTGTGAATCCCATTTCTGAAATGGGGACAAGTCTGTCTTGTCTTTCTTTCTCCATGGTTCAAGCTCCTGCTGTGAACTTTACTACCCTGGAATTAAACTGCCATTTTCTAAAAGCAGCTTTCTGAGGAGAAACTATTCTAACAGAAATATTGTCCAAACACCTGTCTTTGCAGAAGCTGTCTCCAGAACACCAATAAAATACTGCTGCTGTGCAGAACTTAAAAACTGTTCAATGTTTGCTTGGTTTTAAAGCAACCCCAGGCAGGACGCCTAGTTTGTAACATGGAAGTGGTTTTTGGTTTTGTCTGAAACCCTGTGACAGGAGAGACTATTCTGAGCTGGGCATGACCAACTCCTGGCAAGTCAGAACAGAACAGAGATGGGAACCCAAAGTCAGGATTTCCAGGAGTGGGGTACCTTGTTTTCAGGCTGCCCAGCTTGGGCCAGACCAAGGCTGACCCCTGAGCATCGGTGTCACAAGCAAAAAGCTCAGGAGAACAAAATTAACCTCCAGAATGGCCACAGTATAGTTCTCAAAGAAATCTGTTAACAGTGTCCTGCACTCCTCACCTTCTGTTCCTTCTGGAGGTGGAGCAGCTGCAGGCACTGCAGGAATATCAGAGTAGGTGAGAGGCAGGACATAGGAAATACTATTCCATGTATTTTAGTAGCTTTTAATCAAATCTGTACGAGCACAAGGTACTGGTTGTTCTCCAACCTGTGCCTTGCAGTAGAATTATGTCAGGCCTGCAGCAGGCTGTCTTACACTTTGGGTTGCCCACAGTGGTCTTCAAAGTTTAATTTTAATGCAGCCTAGGATTCTTGTGTTAGGAAAAGCTGAAAGCATTAAGTGTAGACCTATCTTATGCTTTGCTCTGTTTTAGGGAGATGAGTGAGAAGAACAGGAATTTACAGCTGTTTGAAAATCCACAGGTGAGACCTAAGTGCAGGAAGAATCAAAGAATCACCAGCACTTGTTGTCAAAGCAAGGGCAATAAGTCTGCATTTGGGTATCTGGGGAGTCTGTTTAAATTTGGGATGTGTGAAGGTGGCTGTGTCTCTGGGCAATGAGGTGTGCTCAGTGTGCTGGGAAAGTGGGTAGCCGTGCAAACCCAGCAGTATTTCCTCTTTGCGAGGGGCTGTCCCTGCCCGCTCCAGCACCTGCAGGCTCTGAGCTGGGATCAGAGGCCAGAGAGGCTCTGGCTCACCTGGCCACAGCAGATAGCCACGGCTGAAAACATCTGTGCTCACAGACAGGTTCTGGCCGCAGCTTTCAGTGATGAAAGGCAAAGCCTTTGGAGTAGCTGTTGCCTTCCCTGCTGTCTGATCACAGCCCCCGGAGCTGCTCAGCACTGAGGGCCTCAGCAAGGACAGGGCCTGTGAAGGCCAAAGAACACCTCAGAGCAGCCCGGCCCCGCTCCGAGCCCCGGCCCCGCTCCGTGCCCCGGCCCCGCTCCGAGCCCCGGCCCCGCTCCGAGCCCCGGCCCCGCGCCGAGCCCCGGCCCCGCTCCGAGCCCCGGCCCCGCTCCCACCTCCCGGCGCCGCTCCGAGCCCCGGCCCCGCTCCGTGCCCCGGCCCCGAGCCGAGCCCCGGCCCCGCTCCCACCTCCCGGCGCCGCTCCGAGCCCCGCCCGCGGAGGCGGCGCTGTAGCCGGGGGCGGCAGTGCCGTACCTTGAGGGAGCGGATCTCCCGGCGCCAGGGGCACAGCAGGAGGTGGACGCAGAGCAGCTCCAGCAGCTCCAGCGCCTTGAGCAGGTCGCGCAGGGCGCGGCCGCCCCGCGCCCGCCGGCAGCGCTCGGCCGCGGCGCGCACGTCCAGGGCCCCGCGGCGCCCCGGGCCCAGCAGCCGCCGCGCGCGCGCCTTGAGCGCGGGGTCGGC